AGTTTAGAGTTGTCTGTTGTAGTGTGAGACTTACTTTGTGAACTGATGTAACAGTTCGCTGGCAGAGTGTCTGACGTTTGGCTGCTTACCATCCTGTAAAAATGACACACGTTGCAATTATGTGATTGTCTTGTTACACGATCACTTAAGGTACATAATCAGACATTGAAACTGAGAGAGAAGAGTATAAGATTCTGGCCACCACAACTAACAGGAGGCAACCAGTTGGCTATTTACGAGGGTGACCGAGGATTTCAACTCGGGGCAACCGCGAACAAATAAAGCCGGAAGTGGCCGGAGCGGGACTCGAGCCCAGGACCGCGCGCTCTGACCACTTGGCCGCCTTGCTGCCTCCTGAACAAATCAGACGCTGAGCTGACGATAAAATGGAGAAAAAGTTTGTAAATGTATACAAAGTAAAATTACAAACCTGTTTCTGTATTCTAATTACATCAGGTGTATCGTTCCAGTAAGGAAAAAGAGCTTTAAAAGTCATCGGTTCCATGCCAGCATAAACCACATATACTCGGTGCGAAATTCGCTTTCCAGCTTCTGGAAAGTAAAAAAAAAAACCAATGAAAGTGTTTTCCAATTGAACGCTTTTGCATTGTTATTCTATGTTCCAGCTAAAAGAACTGTTGCTCCTATTTATTAAAGCCAACTGCGAAATTTGTATATGTAATCAAATGGTGACATTGATATAAAGGCATAATTTCACGTGCGTTTGGTCATAGGGTTTGAACAAAATGCCAGTGAAAATATTTCTTATTTCATGGGTATACCATATGATTGCCTGTCAATATCATGAGTAACAAATTACGCTCACAATAGTGGGTTTTGACTAGTTTATCGCATCGAAAACCCCAGGCACTGAAAAGTTCACAATTTTCTGGATTTTTCCACAAGATATACCTGTTAGAATCCTTCTTAAAGTGCTCTTTCGTGTGTTTAGGTTTTCTAAAGCGTCTTTTATTTCCCTGATATCTTCACACATAATATTCTTAGTAAAACCTTGACGCCATCTTAGCACTGAGGCATACGTCGCATTGCCAAAGCATTATTGTAATTTCACTAACAGGCGATGAAATTATGCGCCAAAAGTTATGAGTAATTTGTCGCCCATGATGTTAAAAACTAATCCTGACTTGCACGCTAGTTTAATTTTCCCGCCTTCGGCACCGCGCCGGGTTCATGGATTTGCTTCACAATGTGATTGGTTCGTGATTGTACGCTCGTTCTGTGATTTGCTAAAATTTACTTTGGTTTTTGTTTGACCACACAACTTCAACTACAGACGACCAACACGCTACCAAAGAATGCCAAAAACACCCGAGACCATAGCTCCTAGTCGTTAACTACATTTAGGGTGCGTTCGATTGATTTCTCGGAGGTGAAATCCGTTTTCGGATTTGCCAATCGAACGCACCCTAAATATGATTTAATAGTATACAACGTCATCCAATAATTACGGTTGAGACGTCAATGACACAGGACTGTTCAGGTCGTTCCAGTGGAAAAGTTCCGCGACCAGTGTAACGTTTTCCTGCCTGGTGTGTTCCACATGGTAATTCGTGTTCCATTCCATCAAGTGGCAATTTTTTGTTAAATGGGACAGATTTGTGTAAAGGGAGCGATTCTTCGACAGAATTAATTTTTGCCAGTCCTGAGTTTCGTTTACAATTTGCCCAAACAGCAATCCGACCGGTTTTTCAATGCAAATGGTAATCAACCCCAGTTGAAAAACATCTTGGCAAAACAAATGATGCAAAGATTACTTGAAAAACAAACCTTTAGCATAGTTTAGAGCTGTTTCCATAGCAAGTCGTCTATCTTTGTCCCATCGCTGTCTCCCTGATCCAGTTCTTACATCATCATCACCCTCTGGCATCCATCCTTCCCAAACATAGACATCATAATATCCATCGACTATAAACAATCCTACAAAAAATTAACATTTGGCACATTTTAGATTTGATCGATGTTGCATCGAATTGCACTACGCAACTTTTTGGGGGATGAATGTTGAGCTAGTCTCCTATGAAACTATCTGATTACCAATTAAAGAGGCGAAATCGTCTAAAACAGTCACTTAAAACAATTCGTCACATCACTGGCCCAGTCCCACACACAATCTCACAAAGGCATACGTTCGACTATGGTAATGTAAACTTTGCAAAATATGTCTGTTTAGTATTATTGTCTATTGCCCAGTATAATTAATAGGACCTTAACCGTCAAATAATCAATCAATCAATAAACTTTGTTTCAAGAGGGGAGCACGTGACAGTAGTGATGACCCTGTAGCCCTCTATAAAATAAAACTTAAGATATAAAAATGAGCGATGACCTACACTAGAAGGCAAAAATGAAATGGAAATAACTATTGATTATAATAACCTCTCTATATACATCTGTTGTGTGGATTTCATACAAGGTGCCTGTACTGAGTCTCTAGATAGCCAAGTCCAAGGAGCAACTACTCACCCTCCCTAACCATGAAGCTTATGACTAGTCAATCACTTCCCCCAAGCTTTGCTAGTAGTGCTATGATTATGAGTCACAGCATTGATTTGGCTGGGCTAGCCCACAGGAAAACTCTAATCAAAGTGACAAAATCTCCCCTCCCTGCCCCTCTGGTTTTCACACAAAACAAGTCAGCCACCCACCCACGGATAGGTCTGGGCCTGGGCTCTCAGCTGACACCTAGCAAGACGGCAAGCCCCCTGGTTTTTTTCCGGCCACACTGGCTTGAGATGCCCGTGTTCAAGCGAAAACTTGGCGGGCACCTTTTAGCAAAATCACAGACATACAAGACTATTTAGTGTTATTTCTAAAAAGTATATTAGCAAAGCGATCATGGTTTATCTTAATTAATACAGAATCTAAAATAGCGTGCCGAACTTGTTAGTTTCTTTCCGTCTTTCTAAAAGAGTGTTTATTAGACTCTTCTGGAAACTTTTTGTGTCCTTAAAGTTTTTTAGCGCTTTGTCTAAGTTATTCGAGTCTTTCATTGATCTAACCGTGATTGTTCAACCCCCCCTATTTAAGTATATTAGTAAAGCGATCATGGTTTATCTTAATTAATACAGAATCTAAAATAGCGTGCCGAACTTGTTAGTTTCTTTCCGTCTTTCTAAAAGAGTGTTTATTAGACTCTTCTGGAAACTTTTTGTGTCCTTAAAGTTTTTTAGCGCTTTGTCTAAGTTATTCGAGTCTTTCATTGATCTAACCGTGATTGTTCAACCCCCCCTATTTAAGTATATTAGTAAAGCGATCATGGTTTATCTTAATTAATACAGAATCTAAAATAGCGTGCCGAACTTGTTAGTTTCTTTCCGTCTTTCTAAAAGAGTGTTTATTAGACTCTTCTGGAAACTTTTTGTGTCCTTAAAGTTTTTTAGCGCTTTGTCTAAGTTATTCGAGTCTTTCATTGATNTAACCTGGTTGTTTAGCTGTATACAGATCTTCTTGAAGAAATGGAAAAGGGCACAGCTTTGGTTCTGAGCGTGCAGGACATAAAACCTCAGTGGCATTAAACTTTCCAGTGGCACTGCTCAGCTCAAAAAGCCGGGGCTGATAATTATGTTTCGACGGATCTAGAGAAGGACAAAAAATAATATGGATGGAAGTCTAGCTTATAACACTACGTTGGTAATGGACATTATCACCTGGGGCCTGTTTCTCGAAAGGCCCGGTAACTTTTAGGTTCCGAAAGCAAATTTTTGAAATCAAAACCAGTTGAATGGTAGCACAGTTCCTAGCTCGCAAACAAGTCAATTTTCTTCGCTAACTGATATTTTCATTCATTACAACTTTGATCTCGAATGCAAACCTGGCAGACACAAAACAGCCTTCGGGGCCCGAAAAGTTACCAGGACTTTCGAGAAACGGGCCGGTGGCCCGAACATTTGCAGCCACGAGTGGCTCCCCTCCATTCCTCATCAGCGTGACAAACAGGAGAGGAATCACTTGAGATTGACTAAAAAAAATTATAGGATCCATGGAATTGAAAGCAACAACACTACTACAGCGAGTATTGAAACTTAACTCTAAGTTAAATAAAAATCAGTTCCAGAGAAAAGCTGCTCTTAGAAATGGAAGAAGGGAGTAAAGGGGGGTTGGGGGGTGGGCATATTTACCATGTGCTAGACTACAATAGTACTTCTTTCCTCCAATGGCTTTCCAAAACTCATCTGGTTCGTTTCCTTCTTCAACTTCACTCAGACTAATTCCTGACAAGTCAGTCAAGTTACACTCTACGCTTTTCCTGTAAAAAGGAAAAGAAAGAAAAGAAAAGGGTGAAAATGAAACAAGCAGTTCAGTAAGTTAAGGGGAAGTAAAATTCATGTATTATTTTTCCAGTGGAACAATTCTAAATCAACTGGTTTGGTCAGAACTCAAGACTGTAGCCTCCCACGTATGCGTTTTTAGGGCTTTGTCACGCGTCCCTTGGTGAGGATTACGTGACGAGCCAAAAGAACGTTTGCGTGGGAGGCTACTCAGACTGCAACTCGAAAATGTTTTGCAACTATTTTGCCCACTAAGCATAAACAGTAACCCCGCAAATCTCTAACCAGTCAAAGTGCCCTGGAGTTGAACCTTCCCACAAATTACACACTTCTCCAGCACACATAAAAGGGTGCAAACAACGGCTGACCTAGCCAGAGAAAGACATATCACGACGCCACCTGACCACTGGTTTTCCCGCGAGATGACTGAGGAACGAGCGCAGAAATTCCTAATTATAACGTGTCCCCTCCAAGATCTAGGGAGTGCTTGTGATGGGTTGAAGCAAATAGGCCATTTCCGAGTTCTCCCGGCCTCTGTTTCAAAACGAGGGTAGGTGCTCAGCCTTTGATATGGAAATTATTTTTCATTTTTATGCAAATGAAACTCATTTTCACAAGAAAGGCTGCCCACCTAGCCTCATTTGAAAGTGAGGGTTTTTGGAAATTGGAAGTGGCCTATTCCCTCGTGGCATGTCATCAGTACTCGTTTCTCAGACGTCACTTTGCGGTGAAACCTTTGATGGCGTCGCGAAATGTCAGCTGTTTTCTCAGGCTACGGCTGCAGTATAATAATAAGCAAGTGTGTGTTGTCTGGAATAGCCGGGGGATAGGGGGGAAGGGGGGTGGGGGGCAGCGCAGTGAAGCCAACAACCAAAGCTTAAAAGTAACTAAGCTTTTACAAGTGTAATTTTCAAGCAAAGCAGTTTTTTTCAAAGGAAAACTACACTTGTAAGTTACTGTTGCTAAAGTACTAGTAGAGAGCTTTAGATTTGACGACGAGAACGAGTACGAGTACGAGTACGAGATTTAACGTTACGTTTTTGCGCGGGTTCTCAAAAAGAACACACGCCGGAAAGCTTCATTTTACTTTTTTCACCAAAAAAGTTAGTACGGTTATTTATACTGAAGGAGGTTAAGCCGTCTCCCGATAGCAAAATGATAAAACATTTGATAACTTGTTTTCGCCAAATTCTCGCTATAACTCGTAGTACAATGACGAAGGCAATCACGTTTTCCCGCCAAAATGACGCTGGTTCACGCGTGAGCAATACTCACTATTGAGAAAATCTCGTACTCGTAGTCGTCCTCGTCTCAGAATCTAAAGCTTTCTAGTGAATTGTCCATGACAGTGATCTCTGGTATCAATAGTTACAGATGTACCTCTCCTGGGCTTTCTTAGCTGCTGCTCTAGCAGTAGAACGCGAGTCATCGCTTGACTTGCAGCCATGCCAAAGGTAGATATGAGCCTCCTTACGTACCACTAACACAAAACTGGTCCGTGATCGCAACGAGTAGGAGCTAGAAACAATTGACAACAAAAAATCAAACAATGGTTCACTGCGACGATCATTTCTTCATTTTCATTTCATTTCCGCAGTTAATATATGATTTATTTCATACTATCATTAACACTCATTTCTTTCACATATGAACCCACAATTGACCTGCTCCCAACGTCAGTGGCTTCATAGCTCAGTTGGCAGAGCATCGCACCGGTATCGCGAGGTCACGGGTTCAAACCCCGTTGAAATCCTGACTTTTTTTCAGGCTTCTTTACGCAATTGCATAAATTGCGTTCACTGCGACGATCATTTCTTTATTTTCAATGGTTGAAAACATCCTCAAAGACCCAGTAGCAACTCATCTGCATGGCGTGACACCGTAATCGTAAGTGATAACGTGATGGTGTGTCACGTGAACATGTTTTTGTTTCTTAACATTTCTTACGCAAAATGACAAAGTTCCACAGTCACCTTCGTGCAAAGTGCATAGAAATAAACAGTACTATTCAAACGTTCAGCCAAAGAGGTTTCATTTGAATGATAACAACAAAGGATTTCGTCTTCAACATTGAAAGTGATAAACCGTCCTATAACTTGGTCTTTGAAAGAAACGTGAAGAGAACATACCTAGCTTTCACTTGATTCAGGCAGGCTTCACCGGGCTCTTCATTACGGATCACGTACAAACGAGTTGTAGAGTTGTCTGAGCGATAAAAAGCAATGAAATACGAAAATGTAAGAGTTAGTCAGGGAATGATTGCAAAACCCAGATGCACTTGGAAGTTGAGGAAACCTGAATTTAAAGTGGAAAACCTCCATAACCAGCAAAGCCCCACAACTAATAGAAAGTAATTAAAACGCTAAGGTTGGCCGTCTCGGCACCTATGGGCCGTCAATTACACAGGACACCCAAGCTACTGACGGTTGACGCCTCAACCACCGTATTAATGTACAATTGGTATTCTACGCCTCCGTGGATGATGAAATTTGAAATTTCTACCTAAGAAAAAGAATTGAAGTCCCAAACCGACCAATTTTCCCCATACTCTCAAAACCGTTGTACTTAGTAACTTAATCAGAGATAGTCTTCAGCTATTTAAGAGTGATGCCGCCTACGAAAATGTCCACTTGGGCGAGTTTGAGGAAAATTTTCGAAAATTTTCTCTCGCGCGCTAGTGGCTCCACCGCCAAAATTTTCCGCGAATTCGCTCAAGTAAGGGTGCTCCCAGGCTAGGAACGACGACAATAACATCTTATATTTTAAGACCTATATTTCTTGCCATGCAAAGCGACTGAACACCTCTTGCTTTATCACGTTTACTCCCAAAACTGAGTTAATGGATCATTACAAACGACTAACTTACCAGTGAATGTTGCTGTTGTCTCGTCAATGGCGTTCTTTCTGTCAAGATACAATGCAAGCTGCTGTTAGAAGGACTCAATATTGACTGCTATATGAAGCGCTTAACTATCTAAAGTATGATTAGATGAGCTCGTTTCTGAAATGTGCTGTGCAGGTGTTGTGCCAAGTGCACCCTAACGGATCAATTTATTATTATTTCATTATTATTTGGGGGGGCTGTTTAAGTCGATAAGAGGACTTGATATGAGGACTTGATATAATAATTTATTTGCAAATTACTTCATATTTTTATGGATTATATTAATTGTTTTAATAATATTTGTGATTTTTTTTACTCAATTTATTTAAACCAACTGCTGTTTAAAGAAGTATTTAAATTAACGTCAATGCGGTCAGTTGAAATGATTGCAGTTTATAATAAAGTTGTTGATTTGTTTTCGGCAGAGATTCAAAGTAATAATTTTAAACACCTTCTTTAATTCTTAAGTGTAATAATTATTACAATACACTTCTCTTTTTGAGTTATGCAAGGCAGCTTGAACCGTGAAACAATACAGGACATTTAGATAGACATTAATTTATTCAGCCATTTAAAAAAACCTAAGATTTCTTTTATCTAATTGGCTTCCACTCCATTCGCCCTGTTATCACTTTGCTGCTACGACTGGTTAAAACGCATGATCATAAAAAGAATCTGATATTGAAAGAATAAAGGAAAATTCAAAAGCTGCTTGTTTCCACATACTCGTTCATTCATTTACAAAGAAAAAAACATTTGTTTATTTATTCATTCATTCATTAATTCGTTTATTTGTTGCGGGCGACAAGAGGAGACCGCAATCCTAATGTCCAGGTTGTTATTACGCATGCGTTGCATTTACGTAGCCAGCATTCATTTGGACTTCCATTAAAAATGAATGAAATGTACAGAACGCAATTTGATCACACGCCGTTGGACTTTCTATCCTTCGTAATCTGATCACGCGTGTTTTGACCATCTGTCACGTGAAACTTCCACAAAACACAGCGTTAGAGTATAAAGCGTTTTGACTTTCGATCGTTGTCGCCCGCACACCGTAACCTTTGGTTATTACTAGTTTATAATATTATAGACTCAAAGGGGTGCTCATTTTATCCCACTGGTTTCAAAAAACGGCACGCCGATAGTATGTTAAAACAACAAACTCGGCAATAAAATTTTATCCTTTGCCTCTGGTCAGATGTCACTGAGAATAGCTTGACAAAAATTAATAACTTTTTAGACAATACACACATTGAAGTTCAATTCTTTAAAATTGAAGTTTAAATTTAAAAACGTCCCACCAATCCCCCTTCTATCTTGAGGGAAATGACTTACAACTTCCTCTTGATTTGTCTTAATTTGTAAGTATTCAAATAAAATAAGCCTTATATTCATTCAGTTGAAGCTATCTCACTCGAGTTAAGTAAAGCTGTAGCCATGTCACAATGAAGTTCCTTATTTATACCAGATTCCCAGGGAAGGAAGAGAGAGCAAATGCATTGGAATCCAACTTACGTTTGTGGGTCATACCAGTTCTTGGGTAAGCTGTTAATGAGAGAATTAGTGAGATGAACGTGCGATGAAATAATGACAACAAATTAATTATCATTATTATTATTATTAGGAATTAGCATGCAAGTTGGGTTTTTAAAAACTATTCTTTAGCCACTCAGGCCGGGAAATAAGAATTGTTTGCTCAAGTTAATAAAAAAGATTTAGATATTTTAATGGATGCACTGAGGTCAAGTGACCATTTAAAGATTGGGATAAGCATGCAGGGAGGGAAATTTTAAATTTTTATTTCAGTGTTACTGGGACGCAGCTGACAGGAACTCAACTGGTGCAATTTGTGTGCATATTTTGATGTGCATCATGCAGTGTTCAGACTTCTGGAAATGTGGCTGTGACTGCAAGGTGGTAGATGGCTCACATCCTTAGGCCTTGAACTTATAAAGCATTAGATATCTTTTTGTACTAAATATGACGCAAGACACGTTCCTGAGCTTTGCTACACTGTATTACAGTAGAATCTGGGTAAAATGAGATACCGTAAAGACAAAGTCAACTTTTTAGTTTGTTCATAGTACTAACTATGGTTTGTTGAAAGTGGTCTTTCACAAGACTACAAGATTTCAGGACTCTAGGTGGTAACAAATTCAATGTTAGCAGCTTGTACCACCCAGATTCTACTATATATGGCTGATTCAATAAAGATTGCTTTGGACATTGGGAATTGCGCACTGGGAGATATTTTTTGGTGGTCACTCAAGCAAATCATTGTAGCGAGTTCTGTACGCTTAAATAATATTATACCCTACGTCTAATCTGACAATGACCAATTACCAAAGCAGTCTTCATTGAGTTAGATTATGTCTTAAAAAATGTCTCATTGAAACCTGTGCCTAATGCATGCATAATTTTTTACCACTTCATAAGTCGTTTTCTTTGATCAAGGTAAAGATTAAGACACATTTTCCTTTGTTAAAGATAAAGTGTGGGACCAAGACACAAAACCTATTTCACATAATTATTATGTTTCACAGGATGATGTTTGATCAAAGCCAAGACTGTCCCAAAGATGGTGTCAATTTTAATGACATCACCTATCCCTGGGGTCAATCATAAAGGATCAGTACAAGATGCAAAAAAACTACCCATCTACCCCTCCCCTGAGCCAAAGTTAACAGTAACACTAACTTCCCACTTAAGGACAAAATATAGGGTTAAGGGATGGGTAGGTAGGCAGTTTCCTAGAATCAAGCCCAAACTGATTCATCATTTCACTCCAGCAATCCATGTATCACAAAACATTTTTCCATAACTGATCACTTTCTGTTCCAATTACTAATCCCAGAGCGATCAATGTGGTCAATGAGACATTTGATGAAAGGCATGTGTGTGCACAAAAACTGGAATTCTACTCAGATTATTTTTACATGTAAGTGGTGTCAAATGGTAGAAATTGTGACAATGGTGTTGCATGACCACTTCATGACATGATGCAGTGCATTGATCACTCTTCTAACTGACAAAATAATTGCAGGTGAATGTGATTTTAACGATTTGCAATTTTAATGTAAGTAAAATAATATAGGTATTCAGATTTTGCATGTAGATGACAATAATAATATTAGTCATTGAGAATTCATGCAGCCAAATCGCTAAATCATCAAATTACAGTCATGGTTCACACACTCGCGACACCTTTATTTGAGGACAAGCTCCACTTGCAAGGAGTTGTTTTTTGCATTATAACACAAAAGTAACTCTTGATTTTGACGTTTGGCAAAAATTGATGCATTAAATACAATAATTGTATCAACACAAAGCCAGCATTCAGAGCCTGTGTAAACCTTGAGGAAGTCTTCACAATAACAGACCCGTTGGCACAATAAATTTGTCTCGGAATTCCCATCCTCTTATTTTCCACTTAGGTTTTTGTATATATTATCTATTAATTATGGTTATTAAACTGTACAACACTATTGCATGCAAAATATGCAGTAAAACTAACCACTAGTAGAACAAAAATGGTTTCCTTTAATGCTGTGAGAGGTTCTAATGCAAAGGGATGAATAATTTTCTTTTGCCTTGACTATCACTATACATGTATGTACCTGCCATTATGAATTATCATTCCTCCTTGGAAAAGGTTTAAAAAGACTGGGCTTTCTTTTCCTTGGACAACTCTAACCTACAGAAAGAAATGAGAGATAACAACACCCTCTATAAAAAGTGGTTCCATTCTGCCTCAGGGCCAGGGTCTAAACCCTTTAAGTGTCAACAGTTTCCATTGGTTAGCAGTATGATGGTGGCTGGGTGGATGCCGCTCACAGGGTTGTCATGGTTACCTGCTGCACTTGACTGCAGTTCTGGGCTCCACCAGCTTCTCAGGTACCTCCCCCTTGCTTATCTATTGTTATAATGAGTTTAACTTGAGATAATTTGATCAAACATCAAGGCATTTCATCTTTGGAGAGCACACCCCCTACACCCTCCCTCTAGATCCACCCCAGAGCAGTGTCCTCACATACAAAGACATTAAACTAAAGAACTTTTTTCTGGGGGGGGGGGGNTCACTATACATGTATGTACCTGCCATTATGAATTATCATTCCTCCTTGGAAAAGGTTTAAAAAGACTGGGCTTTCTTTTCCTTGGACAACTCTAACCTACAGAAAGAAATGAGAGATAACAACACCCTCTATAAAAAGTGGTTCCATTCTGCCTCAGGGCCAGGGTCTAAACCCTTTAAGTGTCAACAGTTTCCATTGGTTAGCAGTATGATGGTGGCTGGGTGGATGCCGCTCACAGGGTTGTCATGGTTACCTGCTGCACTTGACTGCAGTTCTGGGCTCCACCAGCTTCTCAGGTACCTCCCCCTTGCTTATCTATTGTTATAATGAGTTTAACTTGAGATAATTTGATCAAACATCAAGGCATTTCATCTTTGGAGAGCACACCCCCTACACCCTCCCTCTAGATCCACCCCAGAGCAGTGTCCTCACATACAAAGACATTAAACTAAAGAACTTTTTTCGGGGGGGGGGGGGGACACCTTACCTGTGGTCCTTTCTCTTCATCAAGCTCCACAGCCATAATTGCAGCTGCACCCTTCTCATTCACAGAGGAATCATTACCTTGCCAGAAAAAGTATGCACAGCGAACACGTCCTGCAACTGTTGATCGACAACGAGACTTCCGATCTTTGGCGATTCTGTCAGTAAGTACAAAATATGCCCATCTAATGACGTAGCCCTCACCTAAAATAGTGAAAACCCAAATAGTTGAATTTGTATCTTTAAAGCAGCTACCATTTGGGATTGCTCAAGTAACATTTTTTACAACAAACATTTCTAATACCTTTTATGTCTTGTATGCAGTAAGCTAATTTATTTATTTGACACCACAGATTGGGCTTGGAAAAAGTCCTGTCTGTTGGTCTGGGACAAGTGGATTTTCTTGCTGGGCAAGCAACTTTTAAGGCTTATTATTATTATTATTTTAATATTTTTTTAGCACATTCACAGTGGTGGGAAACCTTTGTGAATTATCACATATAAATAAATAAACTGTAAGAGGGGCAAGAAGTGGCCCTGGGCAAGCAAAATGTGAGAGCTGCTTGCCAAATGGACAAGCCAGAATTCAAATTTTTTCAAGCCCTGCACCATTTAGAAGAAACCCTTAAGTGCCAGTGTACATGTATGAGAGGAGTCTAAGCTGTGCTCAAGCATAGCTCAGTGGCCTCTGGCACCTAACTTTTGCGTTCTGGGTGAATAGAAAAGTTTCCTCATAGAAATCATAATACTTGGCAGTCTGGATTTCACAAGTTCAGAGTACTGAGCTCACTAAAATTTATTATTCTTAGAGTACAGCCTTGAGAGTACTCTAACTTGATTGTGTCTCACTCTTGATGTTTGGCAGCAAAATGAAAATTTCTGGTCAAAGAGTCAAAGGGTTTCAAGAGAATATAACTATATTAAAAATAAACAATCACAAAAAGCTCCCTCACAGATCTTCGACAAAAAATAATGTTATAACATACCTGAGTGGAAATGCCCATGGTTAGTTGGTGGTAGCTTAAAATGTCTGTACTCATTGATATGCCACACAGTCAACTCAACAGTTGTAACAAGGTTTCCTTCTTTGTAGATATCCCCAACGCACACAGTTGGTACACCATTGCCACGCCCAACATTCACCCCTTCAAAGGTTGGACACTCTAATGGTGGTGCACTCTTCAACATTATTTTAGGATCACATGGCTTCAGTTCAACTGGAGGAGGCTTAAAAATAGTAAACAGTAGTTAGAGAATAAATTTCATGGGACTAACCAATGATAACAGTTTACAGGAAGGCCTGGGGCCCGTTTCACGAAAGTCCCGGTAATTTTTCGGGCCCAAAATCAAATATTCTGAATCGAAATATAAGAATAAGGGCACGGGTCCTGACTAGCAAACTACTCCATTTTGTTTCATTAGCTGATAGTTTTATCACGTTAGATGCAAAACTATTGAAACCTGGATCTTTAATGTAAATGGAGACAGCTTACCGGGCCCGTTAATTATCAGGACTTTCAAGAAACGGGCCCCTGGCCTCTTACTGTAAATTCATGGACAGTGTGTGACAACTTTTAGAATGCTAAAAGCATTTTCCCTTCTAAGTGGTGTGCATGCTAGCACTTTTTTGTCAGTGACCAGACAATTACTCAAAAGGGAACAAAAGCTGTTACAGTGTTTCTGGTTCTTGCAGGAATCGATTAGTGCCAATCAAGAGTTGAGGCTCAATTCTGATAATCACTTTATGCCAAGATCAAGTATTGCATGTCAACTTACTTTTTGTAAGTACTGTAAGGAAAGACTAACCTAACTTATAAATTTAACAAAGGAAACTAAAATTTGGTACAGTTGAACCCGTCGTAACCTCTGTGACCAGAAAGGTGTCAACTCGGGAGGGTCTTCACTTAAGGAGATCAAGAAAATGCAGAATTTGTATGTCACTGGGACTATGGTCTTCATAGACAGAGTGTGTCTTTATCGAGATGACGTTCAGCTCAACTCATTGCCTATGACATTGATAAATAAAAGTTACCTTTCTTTGAAAAAGAAATCATTCCAATGAAAGTGCAACCCTTTGTACAGTACCTTATCTTGAGCTGCCAACTCTAGCATGCTGGGATGTCCTTTCATTCTAATAATCTTTGTAGGATCTGGCCAATCAAGAAACTTCTCACGGAAGAGGATTGTCTCTGCTTTCTCATGCAGCCTTGCAAACAATGTCCAAGAAGGTCTCTGCGATGCAATTTTGTTATCAACTTCACCACTGCAGTTCTCAGATTTACCATATGGGAAGATTGGATCATAGATTCCATATGCTTTAAATGGTTCCCCATAAAGTTGCTTGGCTAGGGCAAACGCAGACTTTCTTTGACCTGACAACGATTGTTGCCCATTCCAGACATACAGCTCTGATCCAAAATCAAATATAAGCACCTGCAAAGACACAAAAAATATATTAAAGAACTTTCAAAGCAACTACAGTATAATGGCCATTGGAACAAGACTGTAAATAACGACAACAGCAAAACAAACAAAACAACAACTCTGCAGGTAGCCTGAGAAAACAGCCAACATTAAGTGCTGCCGCCACTGCTGTTTCCCTGTGAAATGATATCTGAGCAAAGAGTGCAGAAATTCCACACTGATGACATGCATGTCACTTCCGCAATCCCAGATATGAGTAGTGCTTCTGATTGGGCATGCCACAAGGGACAATGACCTCACCCAATCAGAAGCACCACCAGTATCTGCCTACTGACTCGTCATCAGTATGGAATTTCTACAGTTGTTTCTCAGATACCATTTGCGGCAAAACCAGTGGTGGTACACAAAATGACAGTTGTTTTCTTGGGCTACTCTACAGCACATCACATTGTTTTATTGCACCTTTTTTGCTGCTCTCTACAACTACAATGACATTGTAACACAACATAAAAACATGATGGCCTATTAATTACGTACTTTCTGAAACCCCCTTTTTCCCATGTCTGAATCCCACGTCTGACTCATGTTTACTATTAGAAAACTCTCGACTTTTGACTGGGGATAAAATGCTATGTTGAAATCATTCAACTGGATTTTTCCTTCCAGTTTTTTTTTTGGTTTATCATGGTGCTGTTCCTTCCCCCAATCTGTACATGTATGTCCACAAAATAAAACTGAATTTTTTTCCACCAATTTTACTAAAACTGTATAATAAAAGTGTACCTCCTTAGTATCAAGAATAGAGACTTGAGGAATATGCCCACACATGCTTTCAACTGGCATTAATTTTGGAGGATCTGTCCACTGTATCTTGTACACCATATTCCCTTTCACACAACCTTTCTCATAATCTTCATCTTTAGGCATTGACTGAGCATCTAACAGATGAAAGAAAGAAGGAAATGGTCCTTCGTCAGTAGACAATAAAAAGCAAGTGACACAGTATTTACTTGTACGGCTGCCTCAGTGTGTAATATATAATTATATAGAATAATTTTATTGCAAAGCAAATTTATTGGATGTACTTATACCCTTGAGTGAGAGATCGGAGAAGAGTGTTACATGTACATGGACAGGAGGATGAGAATCTTGGAAATAAGAAAGTGCAAGGGGTGGGGGATGGGATTTAAAAAATACAAAGGGTAATATAATTATTTAATGGAAAGGGGATATTTATTTATAATGTTTAAGGAAAGTAAAATATTACAGGAAAAGGAGATTTGTGCAGCAGGATATCTTCAAGGAAAATAAGAAAACATGTCTGATCAAAGAAAAAGCCAGCATCTTAACTAAGGAGGAAGGAAAATCTGCATGAAAAACTGGTAATACATTATAAAGGAGATGGGATTACCATGGTTCATACAAGTTTCGTTACCTTTTTGTCAAGGACTTTTTCAGGACTTAATAACAAAATTCAAGGAGTTTATTTTCTCAGACGCTCACATTTTTGTGTCACAAATATTACATAGTTTGCACAGTCATGCCAACAAATAAATGCAAACAGATAATTATTTCAAAATCAAATAGATTTCACGCTTCAAGCTCCTTCAAGCCATATTTTCCTTGTGATTTTGTTTGCTTAGACAGGGGGCTGAAGAATACACTTGGGGAACCCCATTTAAGGTGTGGTTACTCTGATACTTTAAATAAGAAACACTGATTGTTCTCATATGAAAAGCCTTTCATCATTTCTAACCAGTTCCTTCAATCTTTTGATGTCAAAATGAACTTATTTTATTGTAGTCTCAAGTATTCAAGGAGTTTTTAATAACATTCCTAAGCACAGTGCTTCTACAAATTCAAGGAGTTTTCAAGTACCTAGCAGTTTTTCAAGAAGTATTCCAGGCCTGTGCAAGCCATGGTCGAACCATTAAAGGCAATACAATGAAGATGATCATAATAATCTGATCATCCTAATAGAGAATGGAAGCAGAAGGTGGAGCAGTCACGTCAAAGGGTTTTAAAAATAGACAGCAAAAAAAGGATAAAAATGATCCTGCTCATAATGCAAGAGGAATAAATAGTAACTTGTGGCTAACCTTTTATTTTGTTGCAGCCAGGATCACCCTTGAGAATACTGACAAATTTATCCAATGCAGCACCGAAGTCAAGATCTCCATCTTCAATTGTTATGATGTCCCTTGCTTTACAGTCCAGTTCAGACTTTGCTTTTATCTTTGACACTATTTCTGTCACCTGCAGTGTAAGCAAAGTACAAGTCGACTATAACATCTAATCTTACATGAAACTTTGAAAAATTTAATCTGCATGTAATTTCTAAGTATTGCTTGAGGAGAGGTGTCGCCAAGGCCTTTCTACCCTGACCCTGTTGAAGACAAAAATTGCTCATTTCACAACCCTGTTTAAAACAAGAAACCCGTTATTTTATGGTGCTGATTCAATTTGTTTTGCACAAAGAGACTGGATTAAGTAATCTTTCAAAATAACATCAAAGAATTAGCTTTTTTGAAAAAAAAAGGGTTGGTACTGCAAATGAAGACTGCTCATCAACAACTTTCATATTCTTTTAAAGGCTTCCAGTCAAAAAAGACAATCCAAGAGAAACAATAATATTGTTATTAATAATTTATATTATCGTAAATTAGTCTTTTACTGACCTTTGCCTTTTCATAAGGATTACAATCTTTTCCAATCCAAGAGAAAAGATCTTTCTCTGTCACCAGAGCAAAACAGTCCCCAGAGTTGAGTGACTTGAGGCTAGGCTCAACAAGACGTATTTGAAGATGACGGCGGCCTACAAAACAACACTATTTTAATACAAACTGTATGTTTGATTTTATTACAGTATATTTAGTGTACATGAATGTAAGTGAATTCTTGGAGGAAGAATCTAGCAAGTTAATTATGAAACATTACATGTAATTATTTTTTTGTTGTTTGAGTTTCAGACTGCACTTTAAAACAATCAATCACCTTTGATGTGAATAAGCATAACAGGTTTAGTTCCTCTGAATTCATCTTTCTCATCTGGACCTGCTGTTTTCCGTAATCTGACCTTTGTGAAATCTTCTGTGCTTGCTAGACCTGCCAACGCTGATGCTGCTAAGTCAAGTGTGTGACGTCTCCCTAATGGAACACAAGTACGTATGTACATGCACTCAGTTTTTATTTTAACTTCATACCTCAACCGTTTGCTATTGAAAGTTAATCCAAAACCTCAGTACGACCAGATATAAATGCAATTTATGGTTGAACTTGAAACACTGCAGTCTGCTTCGTTACAATAATTCTGATTTTGAGCATTTTTCTTGCATTTTATTGTAAAAAAAAAACAAACAAACAATATGTGCAGGTGCGTTCCTTTGGGATGATCCGGATCAGGATCAGTGATCCAAGATCACTCAAATCATGGTAGAGCAAAATTAATGAACTGATGAATCCTTGTCCAAAGTGGATTCATCGGATCATTTGATCTATCATGATCCGATCACTGACCCTGATCCGGATCGTCACAAAGGAACGCTCACTTACTTACACTCAGTGTTAGAGACCATGCAGAAAACATCCGTACTCCCCCAGTGGAGGTTTTTTTGGCTTGAACTACCACCACCCCTCTGGAACTTTTGGACTCCTTCCCCCACCACTCCCTCTAGACATTTCAAATTATGACCTTCCATGAGATGGGTATGCCTAAGTTCTGGAATCACTGCACTGACCTGACTCCTAATCAAGGTGATGGTAAGATTACTTTTGTGACAGTATCCCCCAAAATAAGTACCTATGCTCTAAGGAGGACACACTCCCCCAAATAAATGTCCCAACCCCTTTGGTATAACTACCCCCCTCACAGGAGAACCTGCACTCTACTCCCATTATTTTAAATTTCTGTAATCTTTGATTTCACCAATATGCAAAAACAGGAGTGCATTGTATTTTCTGCCAAAATAAAAATTCACTTTGCTTAAAAAAAATTAATAATAATAACAATA